ACACACACATATTTAAGACCATCCAACTGGTTCCACAAAGATAAGCAGCATATATTCAACCTGCCTATTGACGGCAGGTTATGGTTTTGAATTAACAGAAAAACAAATGTGGTGTCTTCCAATAAGGTAATGGAATCACTCACAGACATTTTAATACTCTATTTCTAATAGGTTTTTAAGATGAAGTCCAAAGGCTCCGTAGACTGGAAGAAACCTTTCAGTTCACTCATTCATTCAATTATTTCCTTGCTTAACACTGTGATCATGCAGTTTAGTTCCTTCATGAGACTTGCGGTCACACCCTTGGTTAGAAAGGAGGCTGGAGTAAAGCCCAGATGTTATACATCCAGGACACTTCCCCCCACAGTGCTGTTAACTATTTGAACATAGTTACATTCAGGTGGTGAAATAGCAGAGCATCTGTGTACTGCATGTGACTTGCATGTAATTCATGAAATAAAGATGAGATACAACCCCTTTTGCCATCTATTTCTTTATTACTCCAAATGCCACAATTTACAGAAGGCCCAAGATTAGGGCTAGTAATATCTGAATTAGCTTGGGAATTTTGCAAATAAGTCTTTTTTTGCACCTATTCATACTCCTTATGGTTTAAATATTTCAGTCACATCTTTCTTCAAAGGTTGCTTTTACAGATTAAGTCCTATAAATAGCACAGACCTCTAAGGATCATTGAGTATTTATTAGTCCAGTTTCCTACCCACAAACCAGAAATCCAATGCCCCAAATTGCACAGTGGCTACCTTCTTAAAGGACTTGTTGCAGGGGTGTGTGGGGGGGGGCAGGATTTGAAGCATGTTGTTCGTAGCAATGTGAAATTTCATTTCTGCATGTCTATACTGTTCCTTTATAAAATTAACTTATCCAACTTGCTGACTATTGCAGCACTGGCTGGGGGGAGGGGGTGTTTTCGGAGGGGGGGAATTGCTGCTCTTTAAAGCCTTCTGAATACACTGACCCCCACCCCTCTGCAGGAGAGGGAATGGACTACTCTCTACCTTGCTGCAAAGAAAACCTTTGGCATCGATCAAGGCCTGTTAAGCTTACAGCCCTATGACTAAGAAGTTGGGTTTCAGTTCAGCTTTGCCGCCCAGACTTCAGCTTTTTGATCTCAGACAAGTTACATACCTTATGCTTCAGCTTTCTCTCCTGTAAACAGGGATATGAGTTTCTTCATAAGGTTTTTGAGGATTAAAGGAATTCAACATTATCATTAACGCTAACAACAAATACGGATGGAACTCCTATTCCATCCCAATTACCCTAAAAGACAAAAATGGTTCCTTCCCTTTATGTAATTTAGAGTATGTTTTTACAACATGAGCCTTGATCCACGTAGGTCAATATAATCAGTTTTTGTTGTAAACGAATTAAGCCACAATTCTACAAAATAAAAGAGTTCTATGAAAATTTCTCACATTAGATTTGTTTTTATATGTACCTGTGGCCTGGGTTTTGGTTATAAAATGGCTTTGTTGATCCTAGTAAAGATAAACAACCAAACCATAGCCTGGATACAGTGTGTCTGTGGTAGGTGGTTTTCTAGGAGTGTGGGGTCACCTGACCTGCAGAAAAGGGTGGGGAAATAGAGAAAATCAGGGAAATGGTTCAGCTAAGGAGAAAGGTCTAAAGTAGTGGGGAAGCTATCTAGATAGTTCAGGACTCTGTGGTCTAGACTGGGGTGGGGGCAGAGGGTAGTTGAGAGGACAGGACAAGGAGCTGGTCTAGGTTTCCTCCCACTGGTTCCCACCTCTGAGGTCTAATTAAAAAGGTTTCACGGTTGAATCCAAGTCTAAGCTCCAAACCCCTGACTTGAAGAAATGTCCCTGTAAACAGGAAGACAGGCTCTTTCCATCACTTAGCAAATCATCTCTCCATCCTGTTGGCCATATCTGTAGACTGTTGCCGGCCTCGCTGACAGGGCTTCCTGTTCCAAAGTGGGAAGGTTCTTGGCAGGAGATGGAAGGCTGGAAACAGAATGAAAGCTGGGCTAGCCAGGCACCTTGCATGAAGAGGGAAAAAAAGGAAACCTGGCACTTTCCCAACTGATCCAGAATACCCAACCAGAAAATAATTTAAAAGAACAGATAATTCAAAGATGTTTCTATTTGGCTTTGAAATGCCAGGCATTTTTTGGCAGTGGACTTACCTTGCCAAATGTTTTCTAAACCTCTTTTTTTTTTTTTTTTTTTTTTTTTTGCATTCCCTGAACACAGACCATCTGGGCAGCAGGGAATGAACTGAGCCTAGGAAGGGGTCTGGTGGTGGTTTGAAGTCCCACTGCTAACAACTGTACTGAGATCACAAGTCTCCTTCTCACCCCAGCAAATCAACACTTCTTTGTCTAGCTGTGTCCTGCCAGAGTAAGGGGTTATTTCTGACCCAGTCCTGCCAGTCACTCGGTGACCTGAAAAGCAGCTATCCAGTTTCCAGCAGAATACTCTCTACCCACCTCTCTGAACACTCACAGGCTACCTCTGTCCCACTGGGACAGCCAGCTGACCCTGGCTCTGCAGTAACCTCAGAATCTAACCCATATTAGGAGCACGAAGCTGGCCGTTTACAGATGTTACCATAAAAAACCTTCTAAGTTCTGTTTTACAAACGAGCTATTAAGGGGCCAGGGCAGAAGGCCCCTTTCCTGTTATTCATGGGATTGCTGCTCCCAGACAAATTCAAAGATCAGTTTATCTCCTCTGGCTCAGGCCTACCTAGGAAAGTCCTTCATTGAAATCACTTAAACAAAGGGTCTGTGCACCAAGTCCCAGTTATGACCTAGAGAAACACAGGATGGCAGCCACTCCCCACTAAAAAATCCCAAGCATTCCCTTGTTCCTCCCTCCAGAGGGTACCCAGCTGGGGTGGAGGCCTGGTCCAGGCTAGAATTGACTGGGAATAATTAGTAACAGGCCCAGATCTGGAGGTTCAGGGGAACTGGTTTTTTCCAATCTGTTGTAAAATTAAGTACATTTTTTTCCTTTGTAATTCCCCCCCACCCCCACCCAACTTTATAGAGGCCTAATTGACAAAGAATCATAAGATGTTTAGAGTACATCATGGAGATTTGTGAAAGGAATACCCCAGGTAGTTAATTAACACATCCATCACGTATTTATCTTTTTGTTGTGGTTGAGAACATTTAAGTTCGAAGTAGTTTTTCATAATCAACAAAAGAGAGGGCATCTCCTGCTCTCCCCATTACTTTCAGGTCAGAATGGTGTGTTCACAGGAAATTTTTAATCCTAAAAAGGTGCTATCACCTTCTAAGTTTCCCAGCGGTCAGGAACATCCCTATTCTGGGGGCTGGTCCTAAAGAGAGAGCCGTGGCGCTGGCCTGCTCTCTGAAAGAGCCCGGCAGGTTTCTTTGAATTTGTTTCCTCAAGAATTTACAGCAGTAAGGCCAGTGATAATGGCCAGCACCTCATCAGCCATTCAGCAACCCCTCCCTTAGTGTCCCCTGTACTGGAGGTGGCTGGGGGATAAGGGGGGGGGCTGCCGAAAGCCCCAACCTTTAGGACAGATACCTGCTATGAACAGAAGTCCACCTCACGCTCTTCCCCAGGCCTCTCTGAGGTCACCCCCGCCGCCGCAGCCGGGAGGGGAGGAGACCTGAGCTAAAGCAACAGGTTCCAGCCGCCAGAACTTAGAGGGAGTCGCCCGGCTCCCTAGCGGGAGGCGGAGGAAGCAGCCAGGAGGGAGGTAGCAGAATGATGGTGCATGACCTCCGGGACCACGTCACTCGGCGCCCACGCAGGCCCTGTACGCGCCGGGAGAGGGGTTCTTCGCGAGGTCACTCGCGGACTCCCGCGGGCTAGGGAGTTCCTGAATGCTCGTTGGGGTGCCGGGGGTCTCAGGCAGGTACCAAGCCCCGCGAATACCAATTGCGGGGGACCCGGGAAACACAAGTGTGTGCTTAGGGGTTTCAACGCGGAGCTCCCCAGGACTCCTCCCGCACTAATCTTCGAGCCTGCGCCCCAACGCCCGGCGCCCCTCTCTCCGGCCTTTGCCCCGGCTCTCCAACCCCAACCTCCCCGGCCTCCCAACCGGTCAGCAGCCGGCAAAAACAGGAGAGTGGACCACATTGCGCCTGGCGCCTCTGGGCATGCTCCGGGGAGGGACCAGCTCCATGGGGGTCGCCCGCCCCGGGAGGCGCCTGCTGAGACCCCCGCGCCCCAGCTTTCCTCCCGCCCTAGGCCCCGCGCCAGTGCGCCGTATCCCCCCC